GAGAGAGAGAGAGAGAGAGAAGAAGAAGAAGAAGAAGAAGAAGAAGAAGAAGAAGAAGAAGAAGAAGAAGAAGAAGAAGAAGAAGGAGAAGAAGAAGAACAAAAAGAAGAAGAACAAAAAACCACAAGGATTGTGTCAAACATAAAGGAAGTCCAACTTTCTGAGTGGCATCTAAGAGTGAGACTGGTAGCTCAGAATCTCAACACATTGGAAAAATCCAGAATGAGAGTTTCTAGATTTAGAACCCAAGCAACTCCTGGACACAGAAAAATAGGAAATTCCTCAACTAGAACTTCTTCATTTGGACTAAGACCAAACTTTAAAAGAAACAGCAGTCATTTCTATGTGCGGCTCCTGAAGGGTTCACAACACGCCCCCATGGTTGGGCATGTTTACATATGCCCAGCGGACCTGGACATGTCCGACTAGCCAGTTCCAGGTCAGGATAGCCATTTCTGGGTCAGGGCATCTTGCGTGAGCAGGATGCCCAGCGGACATGGACATGTCCGCCTAGCCAGTTCCAGATGAGGATAGTAATTTCAAGGCGTCTCACTCGACCAGGATCCATGATGTTGTAAGGCTACATAAGCGAGCATAGCCATGTGATCTACACGCATTCGTACAGTAGTGACGTGACCTGTGCACGCCCAACCTTTAAAAGCCAGCGCCATGTTCCCAGTTCTTCTCCACACACGTGTCACTTTCACAGGCCTGCACAATCTCTGTCCCTTTATCTTTAATAAAACTCTTATTAGCGGATTCTATCGTGTTAGTTATAGTGCCGCAAATAACTAACAGCTCCTCCTGGGCATAAGTCAATCCAGCAAATGCTCCCTTCCATCCTGCTGGGCAAGAGAACCCAATGTGTAGTAGAGGTGCTTAAGGGGCAAATAAATCAGGACAAAGGGCCCTGGAGACAAAGCTCCACCATGACAGCTCGCTGTGCAGACTTGCATTGGCCAAAAGACAAGCAAACCACTGGCGCAAGCTGTCCAGCAGGCGAGTCACTGCAGAGCATCAGTGGGCAGGAGCAATGCGGGGAGGCAGCGCCAAGGTTCCCCCTCCCATCGCCCGGCATCTACTTGCGGGAGGCCAGAAGCTTATAAAACGATTCGAGCATTTGGGACGGGAACCTATGAATCTTCCTGTGCCTGCCTTTTCCAAATTTCTCCTCCCCCTCCACCTAGAGCGCAGAAAAGATCTGGAGAGGAAAAGCACAGTGGGTTCAAGCATCCCTGCCAAAGCGTGGACCCCTCTCCCAAACCAAGCACATTGGGAAATGCGTCCAGGACAGCTGGCAGGGCCATCTATAAAGGACAGAGCCGCCAGTCACTGAACAGATGCTTCAGATCCAGCAACTACATCTTTAATGGGAGGGCAAGCATGGCTGCTTACCCGGGGTCCGAGGTTCCCATGGGCTGCTGTACCCAATTGGGCAGGCGGCCCCCAATAGCACCAGGTGCCCCTGCCTCATGAGCTGCTGATCTACCCGCCTAGAAGAGACTCTGGGGGCGGGAGCCTCCTGCAGCTACAAGCAGTTATAAACTCTATGGGCACATCAACCCGCTGGCGGAAGCCTTTGGGACAGATGCAAACACGGAAACGCTTCCGGGAAGGAGGCACTGGGAGCAGCAAGGGACAAAAAGCCAAGGCCTTACCTTAACTGGAAAACGAAGTAGAACTACAGAGCCGGGTGATCCCAGACTGACTCACACTCAAAACGTAAGCCTTGAGGAGGTGACTGGAGTGAGCGCTCCTAGACGCACCAGGACCTCCTTTATTTCAGAGGTGCTCAGCTCAAGACAGCCTGCTTTGGATCTCTCAGACTTAAAGGACCCCCGTCCACCCACTAACAGCCCTGCCCCCGCGCCTCGGCGTCCTGACGTCACGGTTGCACACCCTGGAGGGGGCGGGGAGAAGCAGGAGCCTGGGTCTGGACTGGAATTGAATGTTTGGCGGCTCCTGCTGAGGGAGCAGCTGTGGCACTGCTGTGTTTTCTTCTGGCATTTTTCGCATCAGGGCCTGGTGCCAAGGTAAGGGAGAACCCGGGCCTCAGCCTTCTCCTGCTAAGGGATCGGGGAGTAAGGCCAGGAGCTAGGGATTGTTCTGGCCAGCCTGTCAGACTTCATTCCTGGAGATGAAGACCGCGATTGTGGGGGGCAGGGGATGTAGCAGTGAAGGTAAAGAACAGACCCAAAGCTGCCAACATTTGCAGTCCCTTGAATTAAGAAACAGGGTTGGGGCGTCTCTCAGCACGGTGCTTACCTGGCATATACAGAGCCCTTGATTCAATCCCTAGATTCAGGACATGATGGCACACTCCTGCAATACCATCACTTAAGGGGTGAAAGCAAGAGGTCATCCTCTTGTCCTTCTTGTCTCAGAGAGAGGGAGCAGAGCGAACTGGAGACGGAAGACACAGGAAAAAGGGAGATGAAGAGAGCCGGACAGAAAGAAAGACAGACAGACAGGAGAGAGAAGGGTCGAAGTGAAAAAAACTGGCCTTTCTAGATCTGGGTCTCAGTCTGGGTGTCTTGGCTTTGGCCTGCCTCTTTTCCTCAGTCCTAGCAGGAACCACTGCTGTCCCTCTGAGGCCAAGAGTTCTACCTTTTCCTTGTACCCAGGCCCAAACTTGAATCTTGCTCCTCGCCAGACCCAGGCTGCTAGCCTTCTATCCTTTCCAGGTGGTTAAGCCTTAGGAGGACACTGGGAGATGTGCAGGTAAAATAAAAGTTTGTTTAATCAGAGAGCCTCTGAAGGCCCACGGCTTCTGTCAGGGTTAAAAGAGAAAAAAAAAAAAAAAGCAGTAAAATGACAAAGGGCGGTGACAGGGAGAACAGGAATAGACAAAAGGAAAGAGAGGGAACCTCATCAGAGCACAGGATACAGCAGTCAGGCCTGCCCCTCCACCTCATCCTTGTGACAGACAGACAGATCTCTCGCAGCCTAGGAGCCTCTTGTGCTTGACTTCAGCAGGAGCAGTCAGAGCTGTCAGTGAGAGCTTGTGTCTCCTGGCTCTTCTGACTAATCCTAAGTCCACCCAGAGAGCCTTCTCCCTCCCTGGGGCCTGGCCATCTCTGGGCAGCACTGACCAGTAGGAAGGAGTTGGCCAGGAGAGCAAACCTGCCCCTGGCCCCAGCTTATCTCTGGCATGGAAGAAAACGAGACGGAAATGAGCAGGACACAGGCGAGCAATACAGTCCTTCTGTCCCCATGTGGTCACACAACTGCCCTTGTACAAAGGAGAATATGGCTCCCAGAGCCAGGCCCAGAGACAGGAAGAAGGCCATGATGGACCCCATTGTCTCCATTGCAGAGACCACTAAATATAGTAGTTAGAACCGATCATTATAAGAATGAAAGGATACCCCCAGCCTGTGGCGCCAGGCAACTCAGCAAGCTGAAACGATTTCTTACTACCCTGCAGCAGTTTGGCAATGACATTTCGCCAGAGATCGGAGAAAGAGTTCGCACCCTCGTCCTCGGACTGGTGAACTCTACTTTGACAATTGAAGAATTTCATTCCAAACTGCAAGAAGCCACTAACTTCCCACTGAGACCTTTTGTCATCCCGTTTTTGAAGGCCAACCTGCCCCTGCTCCAGCGTGAACTCCTCCACTGCGCAAGGCTAGCCAAACAGAACCCTGCCCAGTACCTCGCTCAGCATGAACAGCTGCTTCTGGATGCCAGCACCACCTCTCCTGTTGACTCCTCAGAGCTGCTTCTCGACGTGAATGAAAACGGGAAGAGGCGAACTCCAGACGGAACCAAAGAAAATGGCTTTGACAGAGAGCCTTTGCACTCAGACCATCCAAGCAAGCGACCATGCACTATTAGCCCAGGCCAGCGGTACAGTCCAAATAATGGCTTATCCTACCAGCCAAATGGCCTGCCTCACCCCACCCCACCTCCACCTCAGCATTACCGTTTGGATGATATGGCCATTGCCCACCACTACAGGGACTCTTATCGACACCCCAGCCACAGGGACCTCAGGGACAGAACGAGACCTATGAGGTTACATGGCACACGTCAAGAAGAAATGATTGACCACAGACTAACAGATAGAGAATGGGCAGAAGAATGGAAACATCTTGATCATCTGTTAAACTGTATAATGGACATGGTAGAAAAGACGAGACGATCCCTCACTGTTCTCAGACGATGTCAGGAAGCAGACCGGGAGGAACTGAATTACTGGATCCGGCGCTACAGTGATGCCGAGAACTTAAAAAAGGGCAGCAGCAGTAGCAGCAGCCACTCCAGGCAGCAGAGTCCCGTCAACCCAGACCCAGTTGCATTAGATGCACATCGGGAATTCCTTCACAGGCCTGCGTCTGGATACGTGCCAGAGGAGATCTGGAAGAAAGCTGAGGAGGCTGTGAACGAGGTGAAGCGACAGGCAATGACTGAGCTGCAGAAGGCCGTGTCTGAGGCAGAGAGGAAAGCCCATGCCATGATCACCACAGAGCGAGCCAAGATGGAACGCACGGTGGCTGAGGCCAAGCGGCAGACAGCAGAGGATGCCCTGACAGTCATCAAGCAGCAGGAAGACTCCAGTGAGAGTTGCTGGAACTGTGGCCGGAAAGCAAGCGAGACCTGCAGCGGGTGTAACACAGCTCGATACTGTGGCTCCTTTTGCCAGCATAAAGACTGGGAGAAGCACCACCACATCTGTGGACAGACCCTGCAGGCCCCACAGCAGGGAGACACGCCTGCAGTCAGCTCCTCAGTCACACCCAGCAGTGGGGCTGGGAGCCCAA